ATGTGTATGTGTGTGTGTGTGTGTGTGTGTGTGTGTGTGTGTATAAAGTTCTTACCCTCTTCACTTTCATTGAAACAAGTAAAAAAATTACTTAAATGAAAGATCAATAAACTTTCAAAGGTGCCAAGACTAGCCTATACTGCCATATTTATATGCGTATCTATACTGCTACCTTCAGGCCACAATGATAAAACACACAATGTAAAAATTTCTAGACATCTACATGTTAAATTAGACTCACAAAGAGCTATTTGGTGAATTTATATTTATTCATTTAGCAGACGCTATATTAGCAATAGAATTAGGAGCTGATTATTATTAATAATAATAACAATAATAATTTCTAGAACCTGATCATTTCCAAGCCTGGAAAGCACAATTTAAATGTTTCACATAACACATCATTAGGTTTTACATGCTGTAAAGTTAACAGACATTAATCCTTTATATTATTACATTTGATAATAGAAACTTTATGTAAATGTATTCCTATACAAAACATCACAACTGCACACAAGTTACCAAACTTAGTTGGGTTTAAGCATGTTTGTATGAATGAAAGAGGTGAACTGGGTTATTTCCCCCAGTGGTTCAATATGCATTCCTGTTGGGAATGTGTATGTTTGTGGGTGTAGGAGAACAATACAGGCAGATAAGTACAAATATCAACTGACTGATCTGCCCAGTCCTCCAAAATCACTTTTTTCACAGCTAAGCCTCCAAACAAAGTAAACTGATCTACACCAGTGTATCATTTATGTATCTTAACTTGTTTCAGATGACAGACAGTCAATGGCAGGGCAGAGCTTATTGGCTAAACTGCTCATTACTCAGATCTGTGCAAATATGAGACTAATGAAAACCTGCCACACTTAGAATAGCATAGACAACTTTAAAACACTATAAAGATGCATCCTAAATCTTATGCTTTATAAAATACAATTTTATATACTTTATAAATCTACAGTAAATGTTGGTTCAAAAAAATATATATATATTGCACATCAGCCCAAACTTTACACTTGTAAGGTAGCAATGTACTGATATCCCTCAAACATTCAATCTCTAAGTATTAAACTTCTGCACTTAATTCAGTACATACAATAAATTAATTCGGTTCTAATTCTAAATCTATTAAAACTAACTCTATTCTGGTCTCTTTAACTCTATTCAAACCATGATTTTCAATTTTTAAACCCTTAAGTTCTTTAAAGGTGTAGATATAATTGTTATATTTGCATACTTAATTGGATTGGTCATCTTTCTTACATCTATTTGCACACTGAATTATGATTGGTCTTGTCATTACCCTTCACATTAACTACATTCTTGTTTGTGGACGAAACAGAATCAAAGCCTAACCTAAACTCACCTTAGACTGTTACTGTTTTGTTGCTGCCTTGCAAGTGACTGGTATTTCCTTAAGGAAATATACATTTAGTTTTTGCTGAAAATCTTATTATTATTATTTTTAAAAATACTCCCTCTTTCAAAAAATTTCCCTTTAGAAATATAAAGTTCTGTTCCCTTCCAAAACCACCATAAGCATATACTGCATTTCAGCAAAAATGCATATTTCATGGCAGCGACTCAAAATACTAAAAATACACATAGGCTTGAACAGATTACCCACATATGTTGGTATGAGGAAATGTAAAGAAACACACAGGGGAACCATGAGGTATCCAAACTTCCAAATTTTAAGCTTCAGGTGGGTCATGTGAGGCTTCAGTCCCATCTTCTGACAAGAGTGCTTGAGTGTCATTAGAATCCAATGAATGGAAACACCTAAGGATGCTGGAGTGGGACACAAAGTCAGAATGAATCAGCATTCTTAGCCAACACCCAAGTGCAATAAATACAAGCAGATGCAAAAAGCGAAAGAGGAAATGTAAGACTTAGCTGGCATTTATGAATGAGGAACTACAGCCTATTAATCAAAACCACGTCAGTTAAAAGTTAGGAATAACCCGTTTCTAAGACCTACAGGTTGCTACAGGTTGCTGCTTTAAAAACACTAATAATTTAATAACACTGTTTAATGTAATCTTTTTTTAAAAATAAATATATGTTTATCCTTTTGTACAATATAATGATATGATGAAATTCACTTGTAGCATTTAAAACTGATTAAATGTAGATTTTGGTGTTTCATTTTTCATTTAAAATGATCAAATGTATTCTATTCCTATTTATGAAGCCTCTCTAAAACAATTTTTTTAATTTGATATAATAATAATAATAATAATACAATCATACATTTTATTTACAATGTGCTTTTCTCACACTTAAAGTGCTATATATATATCAGCAATCATTTCAAAGTGGTATTAAATGCACGGTTTAGACATTTCAGCATTATAAAGATCAATAACAGGTTATGTTTCAGTGCAGCTCTTACCCTAATAGACTTATGGGAATGATACAGAGTCCAGCACCCAACATAAAGATAAAGCCAGGACACCATGCCACGGTGGCCGCATAGATTCTGCTAAAAACCGCAGAGGACCCGTTAGTGCTCAGGTTTTCCGTAAAGGCCACACAGGCAAAGAGTGCTCCTGAGAAAACATGAAGGGTAAACAAAGAAAAGTCTGATATGATTGTCTCTTCAAAAGGAGGAGGAATGCATACATACAGGGTTAAAGCATTCACATAAGGATCCTTAAATGTAACACCACTTCGAAAAAAAACAAAACACACAAAAACTCATTCTTGAGCTGAGAAGAGCCGGCATCTTGCTGAATAAGGACTTTTGCTTTGGAACAGTGATTTTCAGAGTCACTCACCCTGCTCAGACTTTGAGATGACCTTTGACATCATCGAACGCAGGACAGGGAACGGCATGATGGCAAACATAGCAGGAATCCTTACTGTAAGTAAACACATCAATACTCACATTAACTAAACAAACAATGTTAAATTAGACTCACAAAGAGCTATTTGGTGAATTTATATTTATTCATTTAGCAGACGCTATATTAGCAATAGAATTAGGAGCTGATTATTATTAATAATAATAACAATAATAATTTCTAGAACCTGATCATTTCCAAGCCTGGAAAGCACAATTTAAATGTTTCACATAACACATCATTAGGTTTTACATGCTGTAAAGTTAACAGACATTAATCCTTTATATTATTACATTTGATAATAGAAACTTTATGTAAATGTATTCCTATACAAAACATCACAACTGCACACAAGTTACCAAACTTAGTTGGGTTTAAGCATGTTTGTATGAATGAAAGAGGTGAACTGGGTTATTTCCCCCAGTGGTTCAATATGCATTCCTGTTGGGAATGTGTATGTTTGTGGGTGTAGGAGAACAATACAGGCAGATAAGTACAAATATCAACTGACTGATCTGCCCAGTCCTCCAAAATCACTTTTTTCACAGCTAAGCCTCCAAACAAAGTAAACTGATCTACACCAGTGTATCATTTATGTATCTTAACTTGTTTCAGATGACAGACAGTCAATGGCAGGGCAGAGCTTATTGGCTAAACTGCTCATTACTCAGATCTGTGCAAATATGAGACTAATGAAAACCTGCCACACTTAGAATAGCATAGACAACTTTAAAACACTATAAAGATGCATCCTAAATCTTATGCTTTATAAAATACAATTTTATATACTTTATAAATCTACAGTAAATGTTGGTTCAAAAAAATATATATATATTGCACATCAGCCCAAACTTTACACTTGTAAGGTAGCAATGTACTGATATCCCTCAAACATTCAATCTCTAAGTATTAAACTTCTGCACTTAATTCAGTACATACAATAAATTAATTCGGTTCTAATTCTAAATCTATTAAAACTAACTCTATTCTGGTCTCTTTAACTCTATTCAAACCACGATTTTCAATTTTTAAACCCTTAAGTTCTTTAAAGGTGTAGATATAATTGTTATATTTGCATACTTAATTGGATTGGTCATCTTTCTTACATCTATTTGCACACTGAATTATGATTGGTCTTGTCATTACCCTTCACATTAACTACATTCTTGTTTGTGGACGAAACAGAATCAAAGCCTAACCTAAACTCACCTTAGACTGTTACTGTTTTGTTGCTGCCTTGCAAGTGACTGGTATTTCCTTAAGGAAATATACATTTAGTTTTTGCTGAAAATCTTATTATTATTATTTTTAAAAATACTCCCTCTTTCAAAAAATTTCCCTTTAGAAATATAAAGTTCTGTTCCCTTCCAAAACCACCATAAGCATATACTGCATTTCAGCAAAAATGCATATTTCATGGCAGCGACTCAAAATACTAAAAATACACATAGGCTTGAACAGATTACCCACATATGTTGGTATGAGGAAATGTAAAGAAACACACAGGGGAACCATGAGGTATCCAAACTCCCGTTGATTTTAAGCTTCAGGTGGGTCATGTGAGGCTTCAGTCCCATCTTCTGACAAGAGTGCTTGAGTGTCATTAGAATCCAATGAATGGAAACACCTAAGGATGCTGGAGTGGGACACAAAGTCAGAATGAATCAGCATTCTTAGCCAACACCCAAGTGCAATAAATACAAGCAGATGCAAAAAGCGAAAGAGGAAATGTAAGACTTAGCTGGCATTTATGAATGAGGAACTACAGCCTATTAATCAAAACCACGTCAGTTAAAAGTTAGGAATAACCCGTTTCTAAGACCTACAGGTTGCTACAGGTTGCTGCTTTAAAAACACTAATAATTTAATAACACTGTTTAATGTAATCTTTTTTTAAAAATAAATATATGTTTATCCTTTTGTACAATATAATGATATGATGAAATTCACTTGTAGCATTTAAAACTGATTAAATGTAGATTTTGGTGTTTCATTTTTCATTTAAAATGATCAAATGTATTCTATTCCTATTTATGAAGCCTCTCTAAAACAATTTTTTTAATTTGATATAATAATAATAATAATAATACAATCATACATTTTATTTACAATGTGCTTTTCTCACACTTAAAGTGCTATATATATATCAGCAATCATTTCAAAGTGGTATTAAATGCACGGTTTAGACATTTCAGCATTATAAAGATCAATAACAGGTTATGTTTCAGTGCAGCTCTTACCCTAATAGACTTATGGGAATGATACAGAGTCCAGCACCCAACATAAAGATAAAGCCAGGACACCATGCCACGGTGGCCGCATAGATTCTGCTAAAAACCGCAGAGGACCCGTTAGTGCTCAGGTTTTCCGTAAAGGCCACACAGGCAAAGAGTGCTCCTGAGAAAACATGAAGGGTAAACAAAGAAAAGTCTGATATGATTGTCTCTTCAAAAGGAGGAGGAATGCATACATACAGGGTTAAAGCATTCACATAAGGATCCTTAAATGTAACACCACTTCGAAAAAAAACAAAACACACAAAAACTCATTCTTGAGCTGAGAAGAGCCGGCATCTTGCTGAATAAGGACTTTTGCTTTGGAACAGTGATTTTCAGAGTCACTCACCCTGCTCAGACTTTGAGATGACCTTTGACATCATCGAACGCAGGACAGGGAACGGCATGATGGCAAACATAGCAGGAATCCTTACTGTAAGTAAACACATCAATACTCACATTAACTAAACAAACAAGACATCCAGAATTACATACATTTTCACCTGTTTTACATGGCTACAAATTTAGAACTCACACTGTCTTTTATTCCATGTTGGACAAATTTATGTAGCTAATTTACAAAGAAATTTTTTTTTCCAAACTACAACATACAGATTGCTGATAATATCTGATAATGAAATTAATTTACACTTCAGTACAGTTGCCAGTGCAACTGTGTTCAGTTATCAAAGAAGTTAATTAAGCAAACTTTATCATTGTATTACTGTACACATAATACGTGTGATAAGATATGTGAGATTGATGTACCCAGGAACAGCTGCTGTTAGCTCTTAATTAATTTGATAAATCTTCAACATACAATAACATATGCAGTGTTCCATATATACCACTTTGAACAGATGTTAAGAGCAAAATTGAGCTGTGAGAAGACACACATTTACAAATTATTTGACGTATTATAAAAATTGTAATTCTGTGATTTATTCATTGTTGAAGGTTTATCTATTCTCTCTTTTCCTTAATTGTTGGAGCTAATTACTAACAACTTACTTTAAACAAAATTGCACTAATATTAAACGTATGGTCAATACAACAAATTGTTTCATGTTATAGCTGATAAATAAAAAGAATATTATCATTTTAAGTATAAACTTTTTTTAAGCTACAAGCTTAAGCTAGGCATAACATTATAATGTAGATTCATTTTGCAATTTGATAAAAAATATATAATATGATAAAAAAGACAGTGTAACTACATTTGTGTTCTAAATGTATGTGTGTGTACTACTGTATGTAAGAATTTGGTAAGACACAAATATAAACTATTTCTGCCCTTGTCATTTTTTCTGTCATGCATGACTATTATATATCTAAAGTAATACCTAACATGGTAAATGCTGTATCCTAATTCCAAAAAAACATCATATATAATATATGAAAATGGTTTTCTAAAATGAATTTTGGACTGTGTATGTTCATGCTCACCGAGAAACATAATGAGCGTGGTCTTTGCGAAGGCCGTCATGAACATGCTTATAGCGACTGACAGCATCCCGATGAAGGCGATGGCAGTGTTAGACAGACAGAGGGAGAACAAATACACACCGACAAAACTAGTGATAAAGATGGAGGTGCTGGCCGCGGCGCCATAGCCAAGGAGGATCTCGCTCCAGCACAGCGGCTCATTGAGTTCGTAAAGTGTGATCATGGACAGACCCCCCGTATTGACAAAAGATAAGGAGGAGAAAGTGACAATCAACAGCACAAGAATCCATTTTCTTTGACTACTGCCTCCTGCAAACAAGTTGTAGATACCACATACAAGTTTCTGCATGGCCTGACAACAAGCCACAGTCTCTGACCGGTCAATCACCCTGGTTTCTTCCAGAATGAAGATGGCATATAGCAAGTTAACCACCTGAAATATGGCAGACGTGAAGAAAGGCCAGTTGAACCCGACCGCATGCAGGAAGTAGCCAGTGGAGATTGATGCCACACCGGCCAACAAGCCAATCATCATGTCCACTACAGCCATGCGAAGAGTTTTCTGCTTGCTGTCCTCGCACAAATCGGCCACATAGGAGAAGCAGCCACCTAGCATGGTGCCGATACCCCCAAAGAGGGCACTTACGAAGCTGGCGGCAATGAGGAGGTAGAGGTTGAGCTCGAAGAAGGAGACCGCCAGGAATGAAAGCGTGTAGACCAGAGACCCAATGAGGGGCAAAATATTAGTGATCTTTCGGCCACGCTGATCGCTGTAGGCCACCAGGAGGAGGGTCACTATGAGACTGGGGATCATGGAAGACAAATCACTGTACATGAAGAACAGAGAAGCTGCTTTCTGCACCTCCTGAAAAATAGAGCAAAATAAATGAAACACATGTGCATACAAAACTGTGGCTGCATATGTATCTTATGACGTCTGTTATAATTCCTGGTCCAAATAAGAAAAGCTATGAAAAAAAAGAAAGAAAGAGGAAATGAAACACAGATGTGTTTCCTTGACTACAAGTCATTGGTTGGTGAGGCTGCCAATCACCTCGAATGGGCGGGTTGAGTTGTGAAATTGCTATGGGCATCGCAATGGGCGGGAGGGGTGAAACCATAGATATGTACATATGTGCATATCCATAACCATAGATATATACATGTACATTTTTACAAATGTAAAAATGAAACAGTCCTCTCGTTGCATTTTTACGGGTTTTGTTTTGCACCTTTTGATGAATCATTTGCTTTGTCCTCATTTGTAAGTCGCTTTGGATAAAAGCGTCTGCTAAATGACTAAATGTAACTTAAATGTATTATAATTAATACATCGAAATGTGCAAAACCATTAAAACGACTCCGTGTGGATTTAAAATTGCATTTAATTTAATATTTTTTCAGAATGTTTTGTAGCTATTTTACTTCAATTACATTTATTTATTTATTTATTTATTTATTGGTCAATTGTAGGATATTGACGTTTTCACAGATTTGCATATTTGTTGCGTTATAATTGAAATCTTAGGATATCGATTGTGTTCTGGTCCAGATAATAAAAGAAAATTATTTACATTATATAATTACGTTTTTCTTATCATAGTTGTTTTTGTGGTTGAGAACCACTGCATTACGGTATTAGTATTAGTATTAGTATTACTAATACTAATACTACTTTTTAATACTACTACTGTTTTAGTATTAGTATTCCCTTTTTCTAAATGTTACGGTAATATTGAGTAGGCGTACGAAATGGGAGGGACCTATGACCGAACTGAAAAAAAAATGGACATGGAAAAATAAATCCATAACTATTGCTTTAATTAATTTTGGTCTGAAGAGGGCGCCTCACGGCCCATAATGGCCGAATTAAAATTAAAGTCACTGTCTACATTTTATTCAACAGTTGCATACATACCATGGGTTGCGATTAAATAAAAGCCAATGGTTAATACATAGCCGACTAAAACACAGTGCTAATATATACAATCAGAAATAGAGATGACAAATAAACGTTATATGAATGATCACTTACATGCAACAGCCCACCGATCAAAATATGGATAAATAAAAACAGGCATCATATAAAAACACTATCAAGTCTAAACGACTCCGTGTGGATTTAAAATTGCATTTAATTTAATATTTTTCAGAATGTTTTGTAGCTATTTTACTTCAATTACATTTATTTATTTATTTATTTATTTATTTATTTATTGGTCAATTGTAGGATATTGACGTTTTCACAGATTTGCATATTTGTTGCGTTATAATTGAAATCTTAGGATATCGATTGTGTTCTGGTCCAGATAATAAAATAAAATTATTTACATTATATAATTACGTTTTTCTTATCATAGTTGTTTTTGTGGTTGAGAACCACTGCATTACGGTATTAGTATTAGTATTAGTATTACTAATACTAATACTACTTTTTAATACTACTACTGTATTAGTATTAGTATTCCCTTTTTCTAAATGTTACGGTAATATTGAGTAGGCGTACGAAATGGGAGGGACCTATGACCGAACTGAAAAAAAAATGGACATGGAAAAATAAATCCATAACTATTGCTTTAATTAATTTTGGTCTGAAGAGGGCGCCTCACGGCCCATAATGGCCAAATTAAAATTAAAGTCACTGTCTACATTTTATTCAACAGTTGCATACATACCATGGGTTGCGATTAAATAAAAGCCAATGGTTAATACATAGCGAACTAAAACACAGTGCTAATATATACAATCAGAAATAGAGATGACAAATAAACGTTATATGAATGATCACTTACATGCAACAGCCCACCGATCAAAATATGGATAAATAAAAACAGGCATCATATAAAAACACTATCAAGTCAGCATGCGTTTAGCTTTTTTTAAGGAGGTGCATAAAAAGTAATATAGAGCCTATAATATCTCTTTGAAATTTAGAAAAAGGGCGTTACTTTTTAATACTTTACATTTACGGATAGAATATCAAAAAATAGAAAACAACAAAAAAATAAAAATAAGTTGCATAGAAGCATAAATGTTCATATTGCTTCTCGGCAAACCCAAACAAAGCATTTAAAAACTCGTTTTTATATGTGAAATCTACAATGACCTGACATACGTCTTGCCAGAGTTTGGTGTCATTTTGTCGTATTTAATTAACACAAAAAAAATGTACTTGATAGGACACGATGTTCGTCAGTTCATCGAGTTCGTACATCACATGACATAACTCTGGCCAATCAGTGCACACCTTAAGGTCCCGGAAGCGGTCCGGGGAATAACAACAGATAGTACTTGTCCTTTCTAGGTTTCGGTTGTATTTCTGTGCTTGAACTACCTGCCCCGCTAATCATTTTGTTTCTAGCCTTATACGATCTCCAACCCGGGGAAGACAGACACAATTCTGACAGGTACACAAGACCTTCTCTTTACCAAGCATCGTCGTAAATGAATAATGAATACTGAGGTATTACATTTGTACGTTTAACGTATAAACGCACATATTGCGGCGCTGTTATCAGTTAAATGTCTGTTTATATGGTTCAGGAAGACGATGGAGAGCTAGCCGGCTAACATTAGCCGTTAGTGCTGGTCGTGATAAAGGCTTTTAGCGCTGTCAGTCTGTCTTCACTGTTGATTTTGACAGATAAATGGCCGGCGGGGCCTGGTCGTCTTCATTCTAGTTATCATGTGGATGATTGTTAATCTCATGTGCACTAACCTTCAGCCTCACGCTGAGACAGTGGCCCAAGGTTAGACAGCCTGTGGGTGCATGAATTGTAAGCATTCTCATATATTTGGTTTGCAGATCTGATCGTATGTGGTGTGGCATTGTGATGAGCACCTGTCATCCTCTGTTTCTGCACGGTTTATCTCATTTGAGTCGGACATTTTAACTCGTTGCTTGGGATTTGGGTTCCTTCTCCATCCCTTGCTGTCGTGTTGCTGAAATACAGCATAACTAACATGTTTTTTGTAAGCATCTTGATGTCCTTCTTTTCATATAATGCGCTGAACATGCATGGATTTATTGCAATCTTAAGAGTGTATTTTAGCAACGAAATTGTGTATTTACAAAAACCCGAATTGTTCAAGTCTATTTCCTTCCTCTTATGTCAATGGTTTATGACAGGATGCATTAATAATACACTTTGAATTGTGTTTTCTGCATGATGCGACATTTGATGCACCTGCTTCTCTGAACCTGCAGGCGGTTTAGGGTTTGAATATGGTAACCCTGTGGCATTTCCTTCATATGGTATGTTTTCAAAGTAAATGGTATTTATTTTTTTCTTATGCAGGGCTGAAACGGGTTGTGTCGAGTCATGGCATTCAGTAAAGGTTATCGTATTTATCATAAGCTGGATCCACCTCCATACAGTGTGATTGTGGAGACCAGAAATCGAGATGAATGCCTGATGTTCGAGTCTGGAGCTGTTGCTGTACTGTGTAAGGCTGTCCATATACCCCTTTTAGTACTTATTTTTTTATTTTTAATATGAAAAATGTTAAACCAGTCATTTATTGAATCATAAGCCCCACCCCCCTTGATTCACAGAATTTCCTAGATGTAAGAAAGCAAAATGGCTTAAATATTGCTTATTTGCATATAAAACTGTTTTGGAGATTATAAATCATCAATAAATATGGCATGTGGCATTTTTTAAGTAAATGTTTGGATGTCATCCACAGCGGCGGCAGAGAAGGAGACCATCAAGACAGCGTACACCAAGATGCTGGATGCTTATGGGATCCTGGGAGTTCTTCGTCTTAACCTTGGTACAGTTTCTCAGCTTCTTTTTTAATTTATTTAATTTGACTTGCCGGTTGTGTTTGTCATCACAACAAATACAAATCCTCCCTGTCGCCAGATTAAAAAAAAAAAAAAACTGCTCTTTTTGAGGATAAGTAGAGCAGAATATTACCAAAACACTGAAATTCACAGCAAAACAAAAATTATGAAAGGTAAATGCGCAAAATGTTATCAATCAGTCGTTGTACAAATATAGTCTCTAATTACAGTGTAACTACTAGGATAGCCATTATTTGAGTTTGTGAGTGTATATAATATTTTCACTGTCATATTTTAAGTTCTTAGGAAACAGCATAGACATTGAGACTTATCCACCTCAATATTTAAATAAGGGGCCGATACAAATAGGTTTTTCAATTAACTAATTATGAACTTGCACATTTTAAATATGTGGTTACAAAATGTGCATAATCTACCAGCTCTGAATCCACTTCACTCTTCTTCCAAAGGGGATTCTATGCTGCACAGCCTGGTGGTCGTAACAGGCTGCAGTTCAGTGGGAAAAGTCCAGGATTCAGAAGTTTTTCGCGTAACAGGCACTGACTTCGTCTCTCTGAAAAACGACCCCTCGGATGAGGACCGCATCTCTGATGTCAGGAAAGTCTTAAACTCTGGTAACTTCTATTTTGCCTGGTCCTCCACCGGAGTGAGTCTGGACCTCAGCTTGAACGCGCACCGCAGAATCAGAGAAGACACATCTGATAATCGTTTTTTCTGGTGGGTCTTTTTCAAAGGTCAATTTGATTCAGTGTTAAAAGATTTTTCCATTATATATATAAATACCATTTTATTCAAAAAAACATTTTTAGTGGCCATTATAGGGCTTGTTTTATATGTGCACAATGTTTCCAACAAAAGGTCACTGACTCAGAATGTTGAATTTAATCGGTGAATGATAAATGGATGTAAGGGTGATGTAATTATGTAACCGCTTCACAGGAATCAGTCCCTCCATCTCCATCTCAAGCATTATGGGGTGAACTGTGATGACTGGCTACTGAGGTTGATGTGTGGCGGAGTGGAGATCCGCACCATCTACGCTGGGCACAAGCAGGCCAAAGCTTGCGTGATCTCTCGGCTCAGCTCAGAGAGAGCAGGCACGCGTTTTAATGTCCGAGGCACAAATGACGACGGCCAGGTGGCCAACTTTGTGGAGACTGAGCAGGTATGCCAACAATGAGTCAATTGCAAGTCACCTTTTGAACTTACTTCTTTAACCCTCGGATGGTCTTTAGTCATTTTAAACTGAAAAAAAATTACATTTAGAATTTTTCTTTTTTTATTTTACTGGAATGGTACGAAACATCATACTTTAGACTGACTTTTGTGGCACTTGCTATATGAACACAGAAAATGTGGATATGATAAGAGAAGGCTAAATGGTCTTAAAAATAATCACACACAAAATAAATGAGGACAAAATACAAAAATTTGCTTTATTTCTCCAACTACATGGCACCAATCTGCCATTAATACCTTTGCTCTGTTTTCAACCTAAACACTATATTAATTGAAAATAATATTTTAAACATTTTTCTTATGTTAGAAACAAATGGTACATAATTTAGAGGTGAATATTGTCTAGAACCATGAAATCCCCTCAAAATAGAAAATATTAAAGAATAAATATTATTGAAATAAAATATTGTACATTCATTCCAGTTAGTCCTCTAAGTGAGAAATACCATAGGGTTTAAATGTCACATGTGACATGCCAAGGCTAAGATTTTGCTTTTACTTGTTTTCCCTACAGGTTATTTTCCTTGATGACAAAGTATCCTCCTTCATTCAGATCCGAGGGTCAATACCTCTGTTCTGGGAGCAGCCAGGAATTCAGGTACAATAAAGCTTTGAATCAATATGATGTATGCATGTATTCAAATAACACTGAGGAAAAATGTTTGCATTGCGCTCCACTGGATTGAGCTTGCTGGAGTTCCATGCTCCTGCTGACTCATCATAATTAACTTATTTTTTTGTGTTTCCACTTCATCACACATGGCCAGTGCTGACCCCCTTTATAAATATTATCAGAAACACTCGTTTCAGGGGATTTTGTTGCAGCTGAATCAAAGTCGAGAGCCAAAAGGACAGCATGGGAACCGACAGTTGGTATATCGAAGGTTTAGTTTTGTCTGGTGGATGATCTGTTCTTCACTGCAAAGAGTTTGTGCAATGTCAGTCGGTGAAAGCTGCATCTAAACCGACCGTGACTCATTTTGGAAAGGATCCAGTTTCTGATAAATCTGTTGGCTTCTTGTGAAATCAAGTTAAGATGCCAGCAAGCAGGTCTGGAAATGCCTGTGTCTTTCCTCTGACATTGCATAGACATTATCATTGTTGCTTTTAGTGGGAAGCTGGTGAGGTGACCCTTCTTGAGCTGTTTTTCAAAGCTTTCCACAGAACCTTGTGTGTCACTTCAGGCCATAGTGGTATTGGTTATAAGGGATTCCATTGTCTTCGGTGCAACGCTAGGTGCAAAATAAAGGAAGTTGAATCGCCACTGGATGCTTTTTCTTTGCTCCCAGAAAGCTCACGGTAATATGAGCCAGTCTCTGCTGCCATTCCGAATGTATGAAATATTAATGGCAGAGGCAACTAACAGAATTGAGTGGAACTCTGACAGTCTGACTGAGTCTAAATAAAGCATAACTTTCCAACAGCTCTAAACTGCAGATCTTCAGCTTTTTTGAATTGAAGGCCCCCTGTTGCATATAGAGGCAGAACAGGGACCATCTTATACATACTGATAAAAAATAACAAATTAACATATTTAAATATATTACAAATGTAAATACATTGCATTCAAATATGTAATAATGAATGATTTTATGTCTTGTAGTTGTTACCTAAAAGTTAAAACTATTAATAATTTTTTATTAATTGGAATAAAGCTGAAATAAAATAAAATGTAAATATTAGATGCAAAAACTTAAACTTATGAAACTTAAACCAAAAATGAGAAATTCTGCCCTGGCAACTAACTTAAATAAAATAAGTTGAAGTACTAAAAAGAAATGAAAACTAAACTGAAATAAAATTTAAATTAAATTAAAAATTAAAGCTAAAATATATATTTTTTTTTTTAAAGTGTAAAAATGAAAAAAATCGTATAAGACATAACAAAATTACAAAAAAATACATTTAAATTTAAATGAATAATATAAAAGTATTTAATTACCTATTATTGATATTTTAGTATATAATATTGTAAGTGTATTTTAGTATAATAAGTGTGTAATTTAGAATATTGTATAAATGTTAGTATACACACTTATTTAGTATAAGTATGTAATTTTGTATATAGTGTAAATAATAGTATATCGATAATGCAATGTTTAATGTAGGAGGGGCTCATTTAACATGTTTAATTGGTTGTTTTAGCTTTAAGTTAACTTGTTAATTTTTTTGTTTAACTTTTTTTTTAAATAGTTCTTCACATTGGCAGACCATCTGCAGTGCCATCGCAGGCCCCTTGTTGAAGACGCTCGGTGTAAAATGTTGAAATAAACTGGGTTAAAATAAATTAAACAAAAGGCATATAGCTCAAATGTTGACTGTATAAAGGCGATTTTAGAGTCACCCTAGTTAGAAGACACAACAACAACAATCCTGTGGTTAGAACACTAACCAATTGTGTTCAAAGGTGTAACTGTTTCAGTGACCAAGTTATATGAGACTACAGGAAATGAGAAGCCAGTCATAGCCTGGAGATGGGAAAGTCCTCTGTATAGCTTACCTATTATGGTTGTAGGTGTGAACGCAATACGTTATATTGAAGGTTGTGAGAGCAGTTAGTCAGATGTCACACAAATAGAAAACCATTATTAGAAAGGCGCTTCCTGCAACTATTAAAATCTGCAGCTATCCAGCATTAGCAGTTGAAACTTCTGTCTAGAGCACGACTGTCTAGCCAGGATTCATGTGTTTCCTGGTATGATCGGTATCTCTGATAGATCTTCAGGCTTCAGTGAGCTTGTGAAATCATTACAGATGGTTCCGCTGTCTTATTCTGTACAAATGTTTTTTGTATCTTCAAATGCAGCTCAACTCAGCAGGCGGGCCAGGCCTGTGTGGTCTTTCTCTTGCTGTCTCTCACATCTTCCTTCTGCCACTTTAATTTCCTCTTGCACCAAATATGAAACAACTCATCTCACGATTCTTCCTTTTTTTGTTTTTATCCTCTTTCCACAAAGGTGGGATCTCATCGTGTTAAGCTGTCCCGTGGTTTTGAAGCAAACGCACCGGCTTTTGAGAGGTAATTAAGATTCTGCTGGTCTCTGATGATGCTTGCTCTAGTATCCAGCTGTTCTGGCTCAGGCCCAAGTGTTAGTGTGTGATGAAAGCATACTGCTTCAAACAGACCTGTTATTTAACAGTCTGGATGGGCAAGCTCAGTCATGTCTAAGGATGCATTTTCGGCTAGTTGGTGGGTAATTAAGGTCTACCAGAGGCCGATTTGATGGATTTGTAGGCGGCAATTACACACAGAACAGCTGGATGAAGTGCAGCAGGGGGTCTCGAGGGATCATTTAAAAGTTGAACTTTTTTAACTTGGGTGACTTATAAATGCAGACTGCTCATGATGTCTTAGAAAAATCAGTACTCATGGCATGAGATGCTGAAAAAGCAGCGTAAAATGTCCAGCCCTTAGTCATGCTGATATAAACACAAGTCTAAACTCATTATCTGTAAATGAACATTTGACCGTAAAAATGCATCTAAAAATAATGGACCCACTTTACAGTAAGTGTCTTTATAACTACAATGTAATAAAATTTGAATTAATCATAATCATTAATCATACAATGCATGTTATTACGTTGTAGTTATTTGGTAACACTTTATGAGTGGGACCATTCGTTCCAATTGTCTCGACTGCTTGGACCGAACAAACAGCGTCCAGGCCTTCATTGCGCTTGAGGTGTGTTTGTGACACAGTTCTGTTTTCTTACTACAGTTTGAAGTTTTTTTTTCTTTTTACTATTTATTTGTTTTTCATTCATTATGTAATATGTCTGTGGTGTTCAGATGCTTCCAAAACAATTGGAAGACATGGGTCTGACCGAGAAACCTCAGCTGGTGGCACGTTTTCAGGAGGTTTTCCGCACCATGTGGTCCACCAATGGAGACTCGATCAGCAAGATCTACGCAGGCACTGGTGCTCTGGATGGCAAGGCTAAGGTACATGTCGGCTTGTAAAACACACAAACGGTACAGCACAAAAGGCACCAGAGAGCAGAAAAACGGGTGTTTCTGTGCCATTTTCACGCTGTAAGTTTATGATTGTCTTAATTGTCTTAATCTGCTGTTTTTCTCTGCTTTCCTATGGCTGTTCCTCTTCCTCTGTGGTAAGTTGACAGTAGCTAGTTGTGTCAATTTGAGTTGTGAGGCTATATTTATTTTAGTCTGCTCTGTTTTGTGTGAGATCTTTTGTGTTATTAGAGAAAGATTACTGTAACTGGCAGTGCTGTCAACTTTAATTAGGCCTCTTTTTCTGCCGAGGTTTTGAATGGTTGTATACGACAAGACGATAATTCTTCCATCGTGCAAATTATGGTCATTTTCGTAAGTTAAGGCTCGTTAGCATTCGGCCTGCTTTAAATCAGACACAGAGATGCAAGATCGCATTTATTTGAATTAATTAGGCTAATTATATCATTTATTTGAATTGGCGCGCGCGAGAGAGAGACAGAGAGAGAGATGAAAGTTGTGTGTGTGAACCTGCGTCTGCGCGTCTCTCTACAAGCAATGAGACTTAGTTCCTTCAAAAACAGCGATTTTACCCCCTCATTGCAGAGAAATATAACGTTGCGAGTCAGTAGCCTGTCGAAGCTACTTTACTAATAAAAGTTACCGTGCTGTGTTGTCGTTTGCAATAATGTGTGTGTGTGTGTGTGTGCCTATGAAAGCAGCGGAGCCTGCATATAGTTTTAGTTTAGCTATAAACCCTCGGGTCGGGTAGCAGACTTCTATTCCTTTGATGTCCCTTTGAATACGTGTTCATGAATTTGTGTGTTTTTGTTTTTTGTTTTGTTTTGTTTTGTGTTTTGTTTTGAGAATGGTTTTGCTTTGTATAGAGCGTTTTAGTTTGTTTTGAAAGTTTTGTTTCATTCTGAGAGTTTTTTGATGTTCCAGGCCAGTAGTTGGCGCAGTCACCTTGTTAGTAAACAGTACCTGTTGCCATGTTTATATGATGCGTCTCCACTGTTGGTTGTAATATTGGTGAAGTAAATCCACACTTTGCTGAAGAAGCGTTAGCAAACTCTTAAACCGCAGCAACAGTACCATGTACTCCGCCATTGTTGTGTATGTTTGTTCGCGCTTGCCTTTAAAATCGACACACACTGCACATGTCTACATACCTAACACGTACTATGCACGCGCATGACATCAGTGTTTTCAAAGATTCCCGTATTGGGTTTTTTACACGGAAACAACAACGGTGGCGTTTTCAAAAACTTGCACTCTGAAACCCGTTTTCAAAAATATGCGTTTTCAGTCCCCAAAACGCCATTGTCGTGTAAACGAACAAGCAAAACGCATAAAAAGTTTCCCGTTTTTGGCTGAAAACGTTTTCGTGTAAACAGCCCCTCAGAGTCAGAAATAAACAAGGGCTGTGGGGAAAAATGCTCGCAAAAATAACAAAAGTACACCAAATATTTAAAATGAGGGGATAAAAAAATGCCACTGTTGTGAACATAAGTACCGTTGTTGTTTCAAGTATGGACAGTTATTAAAAATGTGTTCTGTCAAGTGTTTATTGTTCTATAATATATTGTGCATTATGTTCTTTTGTATTTTATGATGAGTTGTTTTTATAGGTAACAGCCATAAATGTTTATATTGAAAATTCTTTTAATGATGAAGTTGAAGTATTTCACACAAACCGATTCACAGTGTGTTTTCATGTGTTAGAAAAACTTCTGACAAATTAACAAATATATTCCGATTTAGATATATTATAAAAATAGAAATATATTAGTAATATAATTAATTATAATATAAAGATTTTTTTTCTCATTTTGTCTCTCATAGTTGAGGTATACCTATGATGAAAATTACAGGCCTCTCTCATCTTTTTAAGTGGGAGAACTTGCACAATTAGTGGCTGACTAAATACTTTTTTTCCCCACTGTAAATCTATTCATAATATGAACATATCGTAAATACATTGCCTATTAAAGAATAGATTTAAAATACCTAGCAAATGCTTGTTGAAATTACCGATTTTATGGACTTTACTGAGTTATAGGAGGTTTCAAACATCTCCACCTTTGGTATTTTGTGTTTGTGGTCACGGTTTATGGGATCAGTCTGCTGCAGTGGACTGATTTCATCCTGTGGATCTGGATCTGAATGCATTTCCTCATGCTAGCGTGCTAATCTATGACTCCCGGCTGCTTTGGGTGTGAGATTAGTGTTGATCCAGAGGACTAATTCTGTTATCTGTCTAACGGCTAACTTTTAACCTCTCTCTCTTCCCCTCTTCCTTTGTTCTTTCTTTTTCTCCTTAATGCTTACAATGTTAGTCTCTGAGCCCATTTTACAGTCAGGTACAGTATACACAGACCAACCATAAATCCATAACTGTATATGGTTCCCTGTTTCATAAACTCACTGTTTATTTTGGCGCCTCTGACATTGTACAGTGTGTTTTTTCTTTTTATCATCTGTGTTGTCTTGTTTTAAATACGTTGCATCTTTTTTTGTCCGACTTTCAAGGAAATAATTCAGTCTGTTTGGTGTGTCTCAGTGGTTTGGTCAATGTCATATGCTCTGCATTTTCTTTTTGTGCACTTTCATATTCATATTTCATATTCTCATTGATTATTTTATGTAGGTTTTTTATAAGAATATCTCACCCTTTCTGTTTTAGCCTCTCCCAGAGTGCTTCTGGGCATGTGTCAGAACCACTTCAAGTACACACGTCCCAAAAAGATCAGAGTTTGTGTGGGTACGTGGAACGTGAACGGGGGCAAGCAGTTCCGCAGTATTGCGTTTCGTAACCACACGCTCAATGACTGGCTCATGGATGCCCCTAAGAAGGCCGGCCACCCAGAATTCCAAGGTATGTGTTGATGCAACGTCAATGCAAATGATACTTTACAAAGAAATTAGGTTGCTGTTGTCAGCGACAAAAAAAAAACTAGTGCAAATACTTTAGTGACTTTTGTGGGTTTTGTCATGCAGATGGAAAATCCAACCCAGTGGACATCTTTGCTATTGGCTTTGAGGAAATGGTGGAGCTGAATGCTGGAAATATCGTCAGCGCAAGGTAAGAACTTGACGTTAGACATTTCAAAGTTCACTGGTTGCAGTTAGTTAGTAAGCAGAAGCAAAATTTCCTTTGGTCCAGTGGTTGTGATGTGCTACACAATACACTTTTCATTCAATCAGTATTTGAGGTTAAATATATTTGTCATGCTCTCATTCCTATGAGAACTATTGAACTTCGCTTTCCTCTCTGGTAGCACCACTAATCAGAAGCTGTGGGCTGCAGAACTGCAGAAGAACATCTCACGAGATCACAAGTATGTGCTGCTGGCCTCAGAGCAGCTGGTGGGTGTCTGTCTGTTCGTCTTCATACGCCCTCAGCATGCACCATTCATCAGGTATTCTCACACACATTTGGGTTCATTTTATTATTGACAAATCAGTGTGATTTCAGATATTTAAAAGAATTAGAGTTTTATGAGTAAGTATAGTATTATGAGATCTCATATTGTGTGTCGTTTTCCTCACATAGGGACGTTGCTGTGGACACAGTAAAGACTGGAATGGGCGGAGCCACTGGTAATAAAGGGGGTGTGGCTATACGCCTGCTCTTCCACACCACAAGCATCTGCTTTGTGTGCTCACACTTTGCCGCCGGCCAATCACAGGTCAAAGAGAGGAACGACGATTACAATGAAATTGCACGCAAACTGTCCTTCCCCATGGTAATTCATTTATGATGTAAAAATATCTGTTAGTTCTGTTCCGTTTATGAACACATTCTTCTTCTTTTTTAATAAAAATTCTTATTTTTTTATTACTGCTTATAAATTATTAATATTTAAATACATTGAATGTAAAACATGTAATATTATTTAATGTAATATTATTTAATATTATTAAATAATAAAAACAAATATAATTTTTTTTTAAAGTAATTATTATTTTTGTTCTTAATAATATTATTTAACTACATTGTAATAGGTATTAATATATAATATTTATTATTTTGTATGACATAATAAAAATATATGAAAAAGAAAAATAATAAAAATTATTATTATTAAATAATAATAAGTTATTAAACTATTTATTTTTAGGGCCGGCTCCTGTACTCCCATGATTATGTATTCTGGTGTGGCGACTTCAACTACCGAATAAGTATTCCTAATGAAGAGACAAAGGAGCTGATCAGACAGCAAAATTGGGATGCACTGATTGCTGGAGATCAACTGGTAGAGCAGAAGAATGCTGGACAGGTATATCAGGAAAAAACAGCTATATCAGTGGAACATGTCTTTTTTTTTGGTCACTATTTTTATTTCTCTATTTTATTCATATTTCAGGTTTTTAGAGGCTTTATTGAAGGGAAGCTGGATTTTGCCCCCACTTACAAATATGACCTGTTTTCTGAGGACTACGACACCAGTGAGAAGTGCCGCACACCAGCCTGGACTGACCGTGTGCTGTGGAAGAGAAGGAAGTGGAACTTTGATAAAACTGGTGAGAATTATATTAATAACTTATCTTCAACCATCAACCGAACAGGAAATGCAGCAACAGATTACGCTTTCCTTGAAAAAGATCTTAGATATTAGATCTGCCTGTGTGTATTACAGCGGAAGAGTTGGAGTTGAATGTAGTAGGAGCCCCAGTGAATGAGGAAGATCAGTACCCATGGAGCCCTGGAGAGCTCAAATATTATGGTAGAGCAGAGCTCAAAACCTCTGATCACAGGTGAGAGAGACTAATACCAGAACCACAACTTTCAAGTTTGCACCAGCAATGTGTTTAGTGCCCTCCAGTGGGCCTCAGTGGTACTGCAGAAGGCAGTCAATTCATTTTTTTACTGCAAGTATTTGTTCAAATTTTGCATTTGTTTGTGTGGGGCACAGGTACTTTAAGTTTAGGAATCACTGTTCTTGTACCCTTCCCATTTATTTCTTGCAGGCCTGTGGTGGCCATCATAGACGTGGACATACTTGAGGTGGATCCAGAGGCCAGACATCAGGTGTATAAGGAAGTGATCGCCCTGCAGGGTCCACCAGATGGCACCATCCTCGTCTCTCTCTGCACGTCTGGTCCTGATGACTACTTTGATGATGCACTGATTGATGACCTGTTGGACAAGTTTGCTCATTTTGGCGAGGTTATTCTTATCAGGTACAGGTTATTTTGTATATATAATTTAATTCCAATTATATTTAATTGCTCTTTAAATTGTTATATAAAATTTTGTTCGAAAGTGACAGTGAAGACATTTATCATTTTTCAAAATATTTCTATTTCAGATAAATGCTGTTCAAAGTTCCGTTCATCAAAGAATCTGTTTCCAATATTAATAATAAGAACAAATGTTTTTTAAGCACAAATCAGTGTATTAGAATGATTTTTGGAGTAATGTTGCTGAAAATTCAGCTTAGCCATCACAGGAATAAATACAATTTTAAAATATATTAAAAAAGCTAATAGTAATTTTAAATTGTTATAATACTTCACAATATTACTGTTTTTACTGTATTTTGATTAAATAAATACAACCTTGGTGAACATAGCATTCTTTGTAACATATATATATATATATATATATATATATATATATATATATATATATATGTGTGTGTGTGTGTGTGTGTGTGTGTGTGTACATATCCGATATTATATACATAAATTATGAATACATATTTTTTTTCTTCTGAACAGGTTTGTTGAAGAGAAAATGTGGGTGACATTTTTGGAGGGATATTCTGCTCTAGCAGCTCTATCTTTGAGCGCCTCTACTGTAAGAGACTACTGTTAAGATTACATATTTGATATTGACAATAAAAAAAAATTCACATGCACATATATTGCATGGAACTCTAATATTGACCTTTTTTACCATCCCTCTTTGTGTTTGCATGCAGGTGAATGGTAAGACCATAGATATCCGTCTGAGGAGTCCAGGTTGGATAAAGAGTCTAGAGGAGGAAATGAGTGTGGAGAGAATCTGCGGCAGCATCCCAACATCCACCAGCTCCACCCTGCTGGCAGAAAACTCTGACATGGGAGAAGAGTATGACATGGAAGGTGTCACACCTTTTTGAGTTACATGGTACCAAAATTCAGCAAGAATCTATGGAACTCTGGAACAGTATGGCATTAGATTTTTATCGCTGTGTTGACAGGTGATGTGGATGAGGAGATTGAGGAGATTTTACCCCAGCACCTGCAGCCTGGAGCAGGCATGGATCTAGGCGCGTCCCCTGCCACATCCCCAAGCACCAGCCCCTGCCCCTCTCCTACCCATGGAGAACCTGCACCCCCCATCCGGCCCAGCAGAGCCCCTCCACGCACAGCTGGACCACCACAGGGTAGTGCTAGTATTTGACTGTATTCAACATGGACATACTCTTATGGATTTATATCACTTTTTGTCATTGTCTTTATTTTTAACTACTGCTCAAAAGTTTGGGTCAGTAAGATTTAAGTTTTTTGAAAGAAATTAATACTTCTATTCAGCCATGATGCATTAAATTGATCAAAAGTGACAGTATAGACATTTATAATCTTAGAAAAGATTTATATTTCGAAGAAATGCTATTCTTTTGAACTTTCTATTTTTCAAAGAATCCTGAGAAAAATGTATAATAGTTTCAAATTTTAAGCAGCAGCAGCACAACTGTTTTCAACATTGACAATAAGAAATGTTTCCTGAGCTCCAAATCAGAATATTAGAATGATTTCTGAAATAATCCCAGAATAAATGACAATTTATAATAAATTTAAAAAACAAGTATTTTAAATAGTATTAATATTTCATAATATTATTTTATTTACAAAATCGATTTTAATAAAATAAATGGAGCCTTTGTGAGCATAAGGTTCCTCTTTTAGTAAAATAAAAAAAAAAATCTTACAGACCCCAAACTATATAGCTATATACAGTACATGAAGCATCAGGGAAGTAGAATAATCATTTTAATAATTAGTTCTCTTCTGTAACCCTGTAGTAGATTTCAATATACAGAGTTAAACAAAAATGTTAATTTCTCAAACTCTGGAACATACAAAAATTCCAGTGCATTAATTTTCCTTTGTTTTTACACTGCAAAAAGGAGGATTAAGCCCAGCATCCATTAGAAGGGAACTGGCAGGTAAAGAGTGCTGTTTGCAGAGGTGTTGCTGATGTGCTTCAGTGGTTCCTGAGCTCTTATAGAGTGTATGTCTCAAGGCTTCTGTGTGGTTTGCAGTGCTGTGAGCTGAGCTAAATCCCTCAGGCTGTTGATTTGACACTTGTGATAATAGCATGTTTCTTTTCCTCTCTTTTTGCTCAGGTTCTCCTGTTGATGGTCAGCCAGCTGGAGCTCTCTCTTCACATGGACTAGAGCCAAAACGTCCCCCTCCTCCACGCCCCAACGCCCCACCAGCCCGACCTGCACCTCCGCAGCGCCCACCACCACCCTCAGGTACAGCTGTGAAATCTTTGTAAATGTTTACACAGGCATGACAGAGTTTTGGTTTTAAAGATCTGTTCTTATCCAGAAGTCATGAGATTTATCTGCAATTGAATCACCCGTATGAATGAGCGCACTACATTAGATACTATGTTTTCACTTGTTTTTTATTTTACTTTATTTCATTCATTCATTTCACAATGTCCTGTGGTTTCTAAAGGAGGCAGAAGTCCCACACCTGTTAGGAAAGATTCAGCAGGTAATTCTGTACATGAACCAGCACTGTGTATTAGCTGTGGAATATTGGCTTAATGCTGTTTAGTGTTTATTGACTTGGTTAATTGATATTAGGTTGGCATAGCAAAAAATGTCTGGCTGACTTTGGTTTGTCCATTTGGTTGTGTTTCTTCATGCTTTTCCTGAGCCTCATTGTAAATTTGGCTTTTTGTGGTATAATTTATTAAGTAATTATTTTGCCATGTGGATTTTGTTTTTCATTACTGATTTTTGTTTATAATGTAATTTTTGGAAACATTGTGAATTTTCTTTCGAAGGCTTTGCTGAGCCTCTCGATCTAGAGTTTGATGTGACTGATTATGAAGGTAATTTAGGTTTTAGACATTTTTGGCAGTGTTTGTTATTGTGTATGATGATCGCCTGATCACTTGAGACCTCCTGCACTTGCTAAGAGAAATGGACTAATGGGGCAGGGGTTGTTTAGTTCATCCATCTTGCCATGATGCAGTGCATGAAGTCTCTTTTGGTTTAGTGTTTCAGTGTGAAGTGATGGGTTGAATTAGGTGAATTAGCTTTTGTAAAAAGAGAATGATAGAAATTATCTCTCCATCAGGTAAGGAGTCTGTCGGGTCAGATATATTTTCTCCCTAGCTAAAATAGATGCTACGAAACAGAAAATCATTTGTGATTTTTCTTCTCTCATGCTGACAAAAGGACAAAAAAGCCCAGCATTAGCACGTTCAGATGCAGCTGGTGAGTTCCTATACACTCTGCCTTTGCTAATCAGCACTCTAAAATAACATCAACCATCTGTAACTGACAGAAGATTTCATTGACGGACATATTTGGGCCTTCCTCATGCCAGAATATTGTAACCCCAGGCTAGATTCAACACAGAATAGAGCTACGTTCTTTACAGGAGCATTGATCTGACGTTTTCCAGGCTTACTTTTAAAGCATCTGTTTAAATTTAGTATGGAAAGTATTGTTTGGTTTGTAGAAATTGTGCCAATAGGTTTACTTATATTTTTATTAACTTATTTCATATAACTATTACTAAAAGTTTGATTATTGCATCGGCTGTTTTTCAGGTAGAGGTCAAGCCACCGGATCAGCCCCTGGAGGCGCCCCACGGCCGGTGGGTGGACTAAATGATATTTAAAAATAGTAAAAAAAATAATAATAATTTTTGAAAAGGGATAATACCATGTTAAAATTATATTTTTGGCTTTAGATCCCACCTCGAGCAGGAGTCATCAGCATCCCTCCTCAGGCTAGACCTCCTCCTCCTGCTCATCGAAGATTTCATTGACGGACATATTTGGGCCTTCCTCATGCCAGAATATTGTAACCCCAGGCTAGATTCAACACAGAATAGAGCTACGTTCTTTACAGGAGCATTGATCTGACGTTTTCCAGGCTTACTTTTAAAGCATCTGTTTAAATTTAGTATGGAAAGTATTGTTTGGTTTGTAGAAATTGTGCCAATAGGTTTACTTATATTTTTATTAACTTATTTCATATAACTATTACTAAAAGTTTGATTATTGCATCGGCTGTTTTTCAGGTAGAGGTCAAGCCACCGGATCAGCCCCTGGAGGCGCCCCACGGCCGGTGGGTGGACTAAATGATATTTAAAAATAGTAAAAAAAAAAATAATAATTTTTGAAAAGGGATAATACCATGTTAAAATTATATTTTTGGCTTTAGATCCCACCTCGAGCAGGAGTCATCAGCATCCCTCCTCAGGCTAGACCTCCTCCTCCTGCTCATTCTGGGGCCCCCAGACCCATAGCAGAGGTGCATCCTGGGGCCCCACGGCCCTCACCTGATAATCACCCTGGAGCTCCAAGACCCATTCCTGAACCCCAAAGCAAACCGTCTGAACTCCCTCTGGGTTTGTTCAACACTTCTAATGACTTGTTCATTTTTCTTCAATATTTTTGTTTTATTATTGTTATTATTATGTTTTATAATGCTTTTTTGTTCTATAATGAACATTTTAGTAAATAGGATTCAGATTTTTCAGATTTTGGTTTATAATAAGGTCTGTCAGAGTGTTTTTAGTATAATTGAGATACTATTATAGTTTTTATTAGTATTTTAAACCAGGTCCTGGGGCCCCACGGCCCTCACCTGATAATCACCCTGGAGCTCCAAGACCCATTCCTGAACCCCAAAGCAAACCGTCTGAACTCCCTCTGGGTTTGTTCAACACTTCTAATGACTTGTTCATTTTTCTTCAATATTTTTGTTTTATTATTGTTATTATTATGTTTTATCATGCTTTTTTGTTCTATAATGAACATTTTAGTAAATAGGATTCAGATTTTTCAGATTTTGGTTTATAATAAGGTCTGTCAGAGTGTTTTTAGTATAATTGAGATACTATTATAGTTTTTATTAGTATTTTAAACCAGGTTTTTTTTTTTCAGTTTTCATTCTAAGTTTAAAGTTTTAGTCATTTTGTAGTGTGTTTTTGTCATTTTGAGTTTTAGTTTTTTTTAAATATATGTCTATATAGTTTTTATTCATTTTCATTTCAGATTTACTTATTAATAAATTAATAACTAATTAAAATAAATTGAAAAGGGAAATGTTGCCTTGACAACTAGCTAAAAATAAAAATTTCAGTTTTAGTTAACGATAATAACCCTGGTGTCATTACACCATTCATGTTTTAACCAATAAGTCATTGTGAATTTCATCAAAACGTGTAACACGTTGTTTAAAATGACATTTTTAACCCCTTTTTACATCTGTAATAATACATATTTCTGACTGAAACAGGATATTTAAAGGTACATTCAAAGGTACATTCACGACCTAAAATTATTAAAATGATAGTAATAATAATTATTACATATATTATTGATAATGTATTATTTTATTATTATTTAATAATTATTGATTATTTATTGATTTAAACATATCTTACCAACTTTCTATCATGTAATAATGCTGTGTGTCTGTCCATCAGGTCCACCCTCCACACTGCCAGGTCCCATGAGGCCTCAGATGACATCACCCATGCAGCCCCAGTCCGTGTCGCCAATGCAGCCTCCAGTGCAACCTCAACTGCCCCCACCCATACAAGCCCAGCTCCCTCCACCAATGCAGCCCACCTTCCCTGCCCCGCTGATGCCTCAGCCTGCTCCTCAAGCATCTGCTGGAGCCGCTGCCACCTCTCAGCCCGGACTGGCATCTCCCAAGCCTCCACCCCGGAGCCGGTCCTCTCACGCACTGCCACCTGAGTCTGCTCCTGCTCCTGCTCCTGCTCCTGCTCCTACATCTCAGGTTAGTCCTCTTTCTCTGCCCACATCTGCATGGATGTCAAGATCACAAGCCCAACATTTAATTGTGATAAAGAGAGACAGGTACCCACAAGAGCCCATCCTGGGGTCAATACCCAGCTTTAGGGGCCTCTTCTTCTGTTTCTACTTTTCTAGTAATATCGACTTTGTCCAGGTGGTTCTTATAGTCATGTTTCGCTCTTCTTGATGCATGTGTCTCTCTCTTTTACTAGCAGGAGCAATCCTCAGGTTGACAGGTACTGGATTAAGTAATTTCTAGTCCTTACGTTGTCTTCATGGCACCATAGCCAGTAGTCACAATGTATGGGTGCTGCTCATACATATAGGATCCTCCATGTTATAGTTGTTTTTTCCCCTTTCCATCTTTAATTTAACTTTCTTTTATTTTAAATATCAGAGAAGTGTAAACTTAACTTGAACCCCTTGACATTATTGTATATTGCAATTTCTAGAAAAAATACCAGGTTATGAGTTTAATGTTGTTCTGACAGGGGGTTCAAGGAAAGTGTCATCCAGTATTCGTTGTGGGTATTGTTTGTTTTTGTTTTTAACTGTGATAAAATTGTTTTCAAGTCATTTTATGAGTAAATACAGCAGCTTCACTTTACCTCTAGTAGACTTGCACACTAATTATGTTTTTGATGTTCTATAATGTTGTTTTTTATTGTTTCATTAGACGGTTTAATAAACAAAATTTAGATCTTTCAGATTTTTATTTTTTTAAGGTCTGTCATTGCACCATTTATGTTTTAACCAACAAGTCATTTTATTAAAACTTGTAACAAACACATGATTTATAATTAAAAGTCAACATGAAATGTTGTTTTATGTCTGTAATGATACATATTTGTGAGTGAGACAGAATATTTAAAGGTGCATTAAGAAGTTTGGTGCCAATGTACTGAATTGTTTAATCTAAAATATCAAAAGAAATGTATAATTTTATTGTTACTGCTTGAATGTTATATCATTCATTTAAAAAAGAGTTTAAATTATACAGTATTACTTCTAAAATGACCCCCAACAGCCAAAGGGGGCAATTATTTGTCAGCTTTTTAACCTAAAATTCCCCAAACTAGTTGTTACTACTTCAGGCAAGTTAGTTTAGTAGAATAAAAATAAATGAATAAATAATGTTCCAAACAGCAAAGGTGTGACCATTTCTTGAAAAGCTTAGGAGGGTTAAGGAAGGTTACAAAGACTATAATTTTTCCGCAATATATTTAATAAAATCTCATTTGATTTCATGTTGATTCTGCAACTTCATTGTGTTGTAGCTTCTCCCTAAACTGTAAGTTTGATTTCATATTGTAGCCCTTGTGTGTTTTCTTTCCCCAGGCCAAGGTCATGAATGGAGTCCAAAGAGAAGCACAATGGAATCTAGACCCCTTCGACATGCTTAACACCCAGTCCCTCTTCCAAAATTCACCGTTCTCCGCTTCCCTTCCTTGCTCCTCTTCCTCATCTACCCCCTCCCCTTCTTCTTCCTCCACGTTACCCAGTTCCCTCTCCCTGTTCTCAGCTCCGGACACCAGCAGCACTCCATGTCTCCTGCCTCCCCCTGTTCCCTCCCGCAGCAAATCCCAGGAGACCCTCCGTTCATCCCCCAATCCATTCCTCACAGAAGCCCAACCCAGACCCAACAGCACCAACCCTTTAACTGGCAACTCGTTGTCCTCCCCACGCCGATCGCTCACGCCCGATTTCTACACCCAGCAGCAGGCCCAAGAGGCCAGGTCGGGCCTCAACAGGGCCATGTCAGCTGTGGTTCACAGTTCAACTCTTCCACCGTCGTTCTCCAGACAACAATCATTAGTTCCTGGTCCAGCAGCAGCCCCAGCCAAACAAACCCAAAAGTGGGTCACATTCGATGACGATTCAGACTTCCTTTCAATGAAGGCTCCATCCGCAGGTGGGACCGGCCCTCCGCTTATACCCACAGTCTCATCCGTTCCCTTCCCACAACCCCAGAGCAGCCTCCCCAGCTCAGGCTTTGGCATGGACAGCAACTGGGCGTCACTTCCCACTTCAACGTTTCCCACAATCCCTCCTCCGATCCGAACCAGGACTAATACCAGCATCAAAAACGCCCACATCCCTTCCAGAAACGAATTCACAGAGAGATGATGCAGCGGAGAACGTGTATGTAAAATACAGAGAAAATATTATTGTGTATCTATAATACGAGTATGGTTTGTATAATAGCGTGGTGTTGGAAGTGTTGACCCGTTTGTCCGAAATAAATCCAACAGTTTTTTTTAGCCCAACGTAGATGGGAAACCAAGAGGAAATCAACACAGTATGTTAGTATATTTTCAGTTTTTAAAATAATGGGCAAAAAACCTGTTATTTGCGTATTAACCTGCATATACACACATATGTGTGTAACATTTTACACTTCAATGGCCAGATTTAGTTTATTATACATTAGGCCGAAGATTTAAGCTACATGATCAGATGTAAAAAATTTACAAATATTAAATTATATATCTCATTGCGATTTCAATTTCATCCTCTGCTTACCCTTATGTTCTTGTATGTTCCACAGAAGAAAGAACATTAAACAGGTTTGTAAAGACATGAGAGTGAGCAATTTTTGGTGAACTATCCCTTTATTCTGTAACCCAATGCAAATAAGAAAACTTGTTATTATCAAACGCACAGATTTAAAATGCCTGGCTGTGTCTGACGTGTTCTACGCCATCATATCCGTAAAATGGGCTTGACAAGAGATACTTGTTTGTTGTTAAGCTCATTATGAATGTGTCTTTTACCTGTTTCTATTGCCTACATTTAGGTTCAGAGCCTGCAGCAGTAACTGTTGCTCTGCTTTTCTGCATACTCAATTTAAGAGTCTTTATTTTTCTGGGTGTTCACGCAAAAGACCCCCCCCCCCTGTAGCACGCCCGATGTGCTTAGCTTGTCGAAATATATCTTCTATACATATTCATAGTGATTATATGTCTTCCTAGTGGGGAAAAATGTAAAGTAGTTCTGAATTGTGATTATATTTACAGCATACACATGCCATATCTAAAGTGCACTGAAGAGCTCTGTCCTCTAGGCTTTCAAACACATTTCGAGTGGAGCATGAGGGTCACAGCGGCTCCTCTCATTCATCAACACTGTATATACATGTGCTTTCAGTTCATCTGATCCAAAGCTCACGGCAGAACTGCTGTATTAAACATGTGTTGTGTGTGTTTGATTTGGTGGGTTCCTCCTTCAGGATTTTGGTCATGCTTTCTTTTGTGCAATGTGTACTTATTTGCTCAATGAAATCGTGTTTTTTAATTTCGATGAACAGGTTGTTGATAAATCTATTTATTGTGATGTGGAGGAATACTGTGCTGTATTTTGGAGTGCGCCGTCTGTTTCTGTGTATTTTAGCTGTTCGTGCGAGTGCGCTTGCGTGTTTGCATCGCCATATTGAGGGATTCGGATATCTTACGAGTCTGCTGACCCCAGAGTCATAGCATTATGTCTTCGAACTAATTTTGAGAGAAATATTGATCAAATATGGTATAATCTTGAGAGGAAACACAAAAAGATGGATTTTGAATGGTGCAACATTTAAAGCTACCTTTTTGTAACAATGCCTTGTTGATAAAAGTCTGGAGTTCAAAGGCCCCAAATGTGTTTATTTGGTTCTGGGAAAGCATGTCATGGTTCAGCCTCAGTTGTTTTTGTTAATTGTATAGCATTCCAGACTGTGCTGATGCATTATGGGTGAATGATCAGCCTTCAGGCACTTATTTTATGTGAACAGTCGATTTACTCATGTTATGCAGGTTTTTAATGTCCCTCAGGGGCATATACTGAAATGATTAATTCTTGGTTAAAGTGTATGTATTTCAGGAAAGCAGTATTTTACTTGTGCTTTTGTTCCTTGTTTACATTTTAGGTACAAATTTAACATCTGCATAGCTGTTTAAAAGTTCGCCTGGGACGTGTTGAGCAACATATTTTGGCTTTAAGCATTACAGATTTATTTTTGGAGCTTAAAAGCACTGAAAAGTTTGTCTCTTTTGGGGGTTTGGTTGAGGAATGGGTCAGAAGAAGCCAGCCAGCAAGATTGTGTGAATTAATGCATGAGAAAACCATTCCAAAATGCATTCCAAAGCACTAAATGTGAATATCTCCAGAATACAGACACGTATCAGGTTGTGGATAATATATATATTTTTTTCTTTTGATGACTGATGAACACAATGTAACCACTTAACGTTCAAAGGCATTAGAAGTCATTTGTTCAGGTGTTCTGTATGTAATGAAAGCGTTGGACCTGACATTGCTAGCGCCAGTTATTAATGAGAAGCAAGGTTTTATAGGAATTAACTCCTTTTGTGAAGTTAACGTTAATTTGTAGCTTTTAGCCCAGTAGTAAACTAGTCTGTGGAATTAAACTTATATGTATGTATACACAAACCACAAAACTGCGATTCAGTAACAAGTACTCGATCTGTATTTGAAGTGCACACAAAAAGTGCACATTTATGTATGGAGCAATTGATGTTGTATGTATGCAATAATAAATGTATTTCAACATGAAACATACTGCTATTAATTATTGGCTGCAGCAGATCATATTACATATGACAAAATATTTAAAGACACAACAGCTATTCAAAAGCCTTACTGTAAAATTGAATTTTTTTAATTGTATAAACATTATTTTATTTGAATGTTAGTTTCTGAAAAACGCTAATTAAGGATTTAATACGTTTATTTGACTAGCGCTTTTCACGATACAATTCGTTGCAGCTTTACAGGAAATTAAGTTTCTACAATATATTTAGTAGTATCTTATCAGTGGTGAGTCAAGTTGATGTAGCCTACATATGGTAGAAATTTACGGTAAAATTCAGTTAATGACGTAACCAAACAGACGATGAACACTATTAACAGCAAAGATTATATGTTGCAATCAAACTTGTAGCAAAATTTGGAGGTTTATGTTGTTTCAGGATTGGCATCATCTGAGGTCCTCTGGGTTGGCATCATCTCTTCTCAGGTGTTTGGTCATCTCAGGTCTTCGTAAGGGCTGGATCCAGACTGAAGCTTGTGTAATTCCTAGATGTCAATCCCGTGGCAGAAACAGAGAAGCAAATAGAGACATAATTAGTGTAGCTGCTGTTCCAACCAAGCAAAAATGATTTGTTCAACCCAAGCTAAATAATAATAATGTGCATTTGATCAGATATAACTGCAGTACACGATTATGAGATGCATTATGTGAATGCTTTGCTAAAGAGATGTGACTTGAATCTAGATTTAAACGGAGAGAGTGTGTCTGAATCCCGAACGTTATCAGGAAGGCTAGTCCAGATATATATAACCAAATGTGAAAAAGCTCTACCTCCTTTAGTGGACTTTGCTATCCTAGGTACTACCAAAAGTCCAGAGTTTTGCGGCCTTAGGGAGCATGATGGATTGTAGCGTGGTAGAAGACTAGTTAGGTACGCAGGAGCTAACACATTAAGGGCCTTATGAATTAATGATGCATTTATATAGCACTTTATTGTGTATTGTTGTACACCCAAAGCGCTTTACAATCATGTGGGGGGTCTCTCCTCAACCACCACCAGTGTGCAGCATCCACCTGGATGATGCGATGGCAGCCACAGGACAACGGCGCCAGTGTGCTCACCACACAACAGCTACAGGTGGAGAGGAGAGAGAGATAGCGCCAATTTAGTGGATGGGGATTATTAGGAGGCCATGATTGACAAGGGCCAGTGGAGGGAATTTGGCCAGGACACCAGGGTTACACCCCTACTCTTTATGAGAAGTGCCATGGGATTTTTAATGACCACAGAGAGTCAGGACCTCGGTTTAACGTCTCATCCGAAAGACGGTGCTTTTTTGACAGTATAGTGTCCCCGTCACTATACTGGGGCGTTAGGACCCACACAGTCCACAGGGTGAGCACCCCCTGCTGGCCTCACTAACACCTCTTCCAACAGCAACCTAGTTTTCCCAGGAGGTCTCCCATCCAGGTACTGACCAGGCTCAACCCTGCTTAGCTTCAGTGGGCGACCATTCTTGGGCTACAGGGTGATATGGCTGTGGTCAGCCATAAAAAATTTGAGGAAACTGGTTGCCTTGTAGGTAAGTAATAATATTTTGTAACTGATACAGAACTTAATAGTTAGCCAGTGCAGAGACTGTAAAATTGGGGTAATATGATTATATTTTCTTGACCTGGTAAGGACTCTAGCCGCTGCATTTTGGACTACCTATAGCTTGTTTATTGAAGATGCAGGACAACCACCTAGCAGTGCATTACAGTAGTCCAGTCTAGAGGTCATGAATGCATGAACTAGCTTTTCTGCATCAGAAACAGGTAACATGTTTGTTAGCTTGGCAATGTTTCTAAGATGGTTTCTAAGAAGTTGCTGTCTAATATAACACCCAGATTTTTGACTGTAGAGGAAGTAACAGTACATCCGTCTAGTTGCCAATTGTAATCCAAGAGATTTAGTGTATTGTTTTTTGGTCCAATAAGTAATATCTCTGACTTAAAGGGGTCCTATTATGCTCTTTTACAAAGTCTTGATTTTGTTTTGGGGAATAAGAAATCAGGAAGGGGGCCAACACTTTTTCACACCACTGTATATATATATATATATATATATATATACATAAAATTTTTATGACAGTAATTTTAGTAATTCACCTTATTTCAGTTAGCTGTCAATTACAACATTTCTAATATTGCGTTTAAGTTTTTAATCTATATAATTCATATTTATATTTTATTTCAGCTTTATTTTAATTAACGAACGTGAGTTTAACAATTTTGGGACCCGTTTTGCCGCGATTTATTAGCAGAAATTATTCCAATTGTTCAGCAAGGTCTTTTATTCTGTAAAATCATTCTTCCGGTCAAGCGGCGGATAGTCAAGTCAAGTCAAGTCACCTGGCGCCTGGTCGGGAAATGTCATGCCCCTTACCATAGCCGCCTGCGTGCTTCAGTGTAAATATTGCATCAAAATCAAATCAATTTGAAACCCGGATGATTGTAACCACTCTAAGTTCGTCTGCCTTGGGAAAGCTAGCGTGTCTCCGACTTAGTGATAACACTCGTTGCCTTCTCTAGTGCAGCTCAACCAGGTCTCGTCCCATTCGTCAATATTTGTGATATCACAAATCCTGGAAAATGTGTGTTGTAGTCCAAACGAGTCGTTCGTTGTAGTTTTTGAAAAGTGATTTCTGTTGAATAAAATTTCTCCTTTTGAGGTGGACTTTGAACTTTGTAACTTTGCAGATCTTTTTTATGCTCAAACAGCAACATTACAGACTAACTAAAGTTGAAAAAGCAAAATAGGACCCCTTTAAACGAATTCAATGGGATGAAATTATTGGTCATCCAATCTTTTACATTTTTAACACACTCTGTTAGCTTAGATAATTTAGAAGTTTCATCTGGTCTTGTTGAGATATATAGTTGAGTATCATCAGCATAACAGGATTTAGAGATTTTAACTCTTAAGCTTTTAATGTATTTGAATTTATGTTTAATATTTTCTGGGGGTTACAAACATCTTTCACTGTCCATTTGTTCAAACAAATGCTTCCTTTTAAAGTGCTTTAGGCCAGTGTTATTTTAGTATTATTTAGTGTTTAATATTAAAAAATTGGCTCTTATTTTTATGTTTTCCGTTTTCGTTTTAAATTTTAATAATTGTAAGTGTTTTATTAGCCCTTTATCAACAGTAACCAATAGGTCTGAGAGGAAATCTGCAAATTCTTTTAGGATAGTCTTTCAAGGTTGTTGCTGCTGTCTTCACACCGCTATGTGAAGGTAAATAGATAACAGTGATTCACATCAGAAACACCACAGCGCTCACAAACACAGACATGATGGGATGTCAGAGGAGACGCACCTCCGGCTCGGGGGCTTTTCTGCTCCCCCGTTTACTCTGCCTGCTGTGTTTTGCTGTCATTAGTGTGGCTGAGAACACGGAGAGGAGAGCGGAGGAAAGCCACAGGCAGGACAGCGCCAATCTGCTCATATTCATCACGTTACTCACACTCACTATCCTCACGATATGGCTCTTCAAACACCGCCGCTTCAGGTTCCTACTTGAGACGGGTTTGGCTATGATTTATGGTGAGATTTATTTATTTTATATAATCATATTGAAGTTCACATTGGGGAACCTTGTGTAGGAGGGCACCAGAAATATGCACACACACAGTAGCCACTAATATGGGACAAATGTAAAAAAAAAAAAAATTTTAGTTTTGACAGATTTACAGAGCTGCTCAATTTAACCTCATTTACGTGAAGATTTTGTCTAT